CCAGGATTGTGTGTGCAGTTTTATCTGGTTTGATACAAGGTGAGGATGACATCATCTAGTCACTACCTTTTGTTAAAACAAAGTCACCAAGACTGGATATACCTGTTGGGACTTTCCATGAAAACTTCAAGCATTTATGAAGCGAGCTGTGGACTAGCAAAACACCTGCATGGCTGGGTGGCTTTTGTTTTGTTTTGTTCCCCCTCCCTGCCCTGAGATTAGTGTCTATTGGTTTGGTCCATGGGTCTGTGCTATTCTGTTCTTGGTTGTTCTCAGTGGTTCCATTTCTCTTAAGTACTGATTTCAGAGCGATTCCAGCAGCACAATGAGGGCTGGAGGTACAGTCAGTGACCAGATGCTCATTTATCCTGTCTACATGAGAAAGAATAAATTGTCTGTGACTTTGATTTCCCTGTCCAAAGAAACCAGGTGAGGTGCCAGGCAACTTAAAGATGTTTTACGTGTATGAGAGTTTTAACTCTGGGAGCACTGTAAGCAGTACACTTATCTGATATTTGCAGATGATGCCTAAAAGTGTGCTCTTTGGCTCTTCCTGGAGAGGGAGGTGTGAGGTGTGCTTGGTGTGAACCCCAGAGATGCTGTAGCCACGGCACCTAGGCCAGTCTCTCTTTAGGAGGGTTCTGGCCATCAGTACCTGCCAGCACCTGCTCATTAAACCAGAGGAACCCAAGAGCAGCTGGTACAGCTGCTACTTTGAGGAGAAGTAAAGTCCCTGTTTTTGTTCTTTCAATACATGGCTCTAATCCTCCAGCACTCTGGCTACTGCCTTTGTGACAGAGCACATGTGGTGCTGCCCTTGGGCTCAGGCTTTGCACAGAGCTTGTGCTGGGGGTGTATGTCAGCCCTCAGGCTCAGCATCACTTAATGCTGAACTGCTGTGAAGAACCATAATGGATGCTGCTGTTTTCTCTTGCCTCACTTTGGTTTAGTCCATTAGACAAGAACTTCTTGGTTAATTAAGAGAAAAAAAAAAAAAAAAAAAGAGCAAAGCAGTAATTAAATGAAAATATGAAGCATGCACAGCTAGAGGGCTCTTCTTAACAAAACCATGATTGTAATTTACTGTAAATGTGGCCATAAAACTGAAGAGGACCAGGAGCAGGAGGCAGCTCGTGGTATGGCACTCAACATCTGCAGCAAAGGCAACACAGAGCAGGAGAACCTGCAGCCATCTATCTTAGTTACACAGTGTATTGATCTCCTGTTCAGCTATAACAAATTCCACTGCCTCAGGGGCATGAGCCAGCAGCAAATACCAGCAGTTACTCCAACAAGAGAATGACCCACTGCCCCAGGAGGGGCAAAGGGATCCATGCTGGGACCCTGCAGGTCCTGAGGCCCTGTGGAATATGATGATGGCTGCATTTGCAGAGATCTGGGTGACTTGAGGTAAATGTTGGCAGCTGGAGCTCGGTCTGGGCAGCTGTGCTCCCAGGGCTGTGGATGTGGTGGGATAGTAGAAAGATACTGCAGGATATAGGGCTGCAGGATATAGGGCTGAAACTAATGTGATTTCTGAGGTTTGGAAAGATTTGAGAGCAAAGACAACTGGCAATGCTGAATGATGTTGTAGCCCCCAAGTCTGGTCTCTGTACTCCCTAGGGAGAAACTGTTAGACATTGAGGATCAGCCAGAGTCGGGGGGAAGCAAAGTGAGCATGAAAGTTGGACTGAGGCTCCCGTGCCCAGCACTGGGTCAAGAGGCTGAGAGGGACAGAGCGGTCACCAAGTCCTGGCATGGCACCATTTCTCCTCACTTTTTTTTTTTTTTTTTTTTTTTTTGAGTGAGGACAATTTCCTTAAAACCCTTTAATGAAATTACATTTTCAGAAAACATCTCCTAAGCGTCCTTTGTTGGAGTTGCTATGTATTTATTTGGTTTCGTTTGAAGGGCAACCAGGAAAATGTTCTTAGGTGCCTGAGCTCAAAAGGCCCTTTGGCTCAGCCCAGGGCAGTGCTGATGGCACTAGGCCTCATGGCGGCCTGCAGCTCCTCGCAGCGTGGAGCTTTGCTCTGTGTGACAGCAATGGGGCCTGAGGGGACGGCATGGAGCTGTCAGAGAAGGGCTGGGGGTGAGGGAAAGGCTGTGCCCCAGAGGTGGTGGGCATGGCACAGGCTGCCCAGGACAGGGGGCACAGCCCCAGTGCCAGAGCTCAGGGAGCACTGGGACAGCACTCTCAGCCATAGGGTTTGGGTGGTGCTGTGTGGAGCCCGGGGTTGGACTCGGTGATCCTTGTGGGTCCCTTACATTGAGGATATTCTGTGATTCTATGATTTTCATGAGGGCTTGAGTTACAGTGTGCACCAAGCCCTGCTCTCTGCTGTGGAGGTGCAGAAAGGGTTTATTATGGCAGGCGATACCCACCAGCTCCCAGGGCTCTCACCCTGCGACACTGAGTCCATGCCTGCCCTCAGGTAGAAGTACCCATGACAGCAGGCAGAATTTGGCACTGGTGATTTTTCCAGTTGCTTTGGAGAATGAACTGGTGTGCTCCAGCAGCAAAGTGGCTATGGTATTTCTAGGGATCTCCAGCACTGCCTGTCCACGGCCCTCGATTTGATTTCTGTGTCCTCTCTGCTTTTTTGTAGGTGAAACCAGCCAGAAAAGGATGAATGATCCCTAATGGTAGTTTTCATATGTTCTTTTGAAGTAATTCTTTTACAGCACAGCAATAGAGACCAAAACGCATTCAGCTTGAGAGATAATAGCACATAAAAATAACTAAAAAGTTAGTGCATTGACTGTTCGATGCTTAGATAGAAAGTAAAAAAATGAAAGTAATTCTCCTGATAGCTTGTAAGAGGGCTGATTGATGCAGCTGTCTTTTCACTGCCATTTTCGAAAGCCAGGGCTATGCTTTTTTTAGGATTACTTTGATAAACGGATGTTTTGTTAAAATCCCACTGAGCTGTTTTTTGACTGCTGCCTTATTCCTAGCTGATACCCACAGGACAGCAGGATTTGTGCTGCTGGCGCTACGAATGACAACATCCCTCACCTCTCTCACTTGCCTTTAATCATGCTCTCCTGTTCTCATCACTATGGCCCTGCTGTCCTATTTCACAAGCTTTGCTGTCACAAGGCAGTATGCCTGCTCCCACCTGAAAGCACCCGGCTTGGAAGCACCTGAAATATGCTGGATGCTATCAGTTTCTGTTGGAGACCAGGTGCTCAGGAGCTGTAGGGTTGGGACTCTCCTCTCATTATCATCCCAAGTAGAGATCTGGGGATCAAGGAGCAGTTCTTAAGTTCTAATGCTAGTGTAGAACTCCAGTGTTGTGGTAGACAAGTCCTTGAATCTCTGGCATTTGAGTTTCTGTATACAACAGATAGGAAATAAGGATGGAGAAAACTTCACACTCAGAGACTCAAGGATCAGCTTGGGGCTGTTCATGAGACACTTGGAAATTACAGGCAGCAATTACAGTGGCGGAAGGGAAAATGATAGAGGATCTATTCATCCGTGGGCTTCTAACTATTGATAATGCTGTGTTTGAGGAAGGTAATTGCTCTTCAGAGGGAAACAGTCTCTAAGAAATAATTCCTGATGGCTCGTGTTTTCTTGTCTTTTTTTTCTCTCAGGCATGTGCACACAGCCTGTAGCTGCCAATAACCCATTCTTAGTGCAGGGTAATTTCTGTTTTAATGATCTCACAGATCTCACAGCTATGTTTCCCATCACTTGTTCGATTTATCAAGAAATATTTCATTTCCTGTGTAATAGCACAGCTGATTCTCATGAGGTTGCTGAATTACACTTACATTTTTGGAAGATGAATGAAAAATACAAAGATTGGTAAAAACTAAAACGTTACTTACAGTCATGAAGAGCCAAAGGCAATGATTCAGCCTCATTAGATGGGTATGAACAATCTCTTCCAATGTTGGCTCCTGTTCCTGTTTAACTGCTGACGGGTTTTACCTGATTTGCAGTGATTTCAGGAGTGAGCTTTAACCTCCCTACATAATCTAGATTAATTGGTCTGGTTTTACATGGGCGAGAGAATACTGCAAATCCACAACGATGTAACAAGATGGAGGTAGGGACCCTGTACAAACCCCAGGGATGCGGTGCTCATAGCAGCAGCATCCATGCTGAGAGGCAGTGGGCTCAGCACTAAGAAGCTGGCAGCTTCCCACTTACTTCTTGTCCAGCACTGCTCCATTGGCTATCCCCCTCTCTCCTTTCTCCTGCCTATCAGGGAAACAATTCTGTGTGCATTCTGGCAGGCAGGAGCTGCCCATCAGTGTCCACAGGCGGTGTGTCTGGCCCAGCTGCAGCAGGAGCTGGGCACTGGCTTTGGCTGGAGCTCATTTCAGCGAGATGCAGAGGTGAGGCAGACATGTAGGACTTGACTGGGATTACGAACTGGAATAGTTTCTCCTTTGGTTCCATGTTGCCTAGCGTGATTAGCAAACCTCCACATTCAAGGCAATAACATTTCTCTGTTTGCAGCGTGATTGATTTTTTTCTTAATGTCTCTCTTCAGTCAGTAGCAAAACTTCCTGAGTTTATCTTAATACCCTGCACGGAAGTGTCCTATTGATCTGAATGAAACCTGGGGAGATACAGCAGCAGTTCCTTACAGCCACATAGAGAGCAAACAGCCTCCATCTGCTCTCTGCTTTGTGGCTGAGCAGAGGCTGGATCTTGCAGCTCTTCCTGGGAGGCACCGTGCAGTGTGAGAGCCTGTTGCACTGCTGGATGAACACACAGCACACGTGGCTGCCCCCCACCAGCTCAGCTGCCCATCCAGCCTGGTCTTGGGCATCTCCAGGGATGGGGCACTACAGCTCTCTCAGCAGCAGTGCCAGGACCTCACCAACCTCTGAGTGAGAAAAGAGAATGAAACTGAAGCAGAACCCTCAGCACTGGCTCCACAAAGAAGAACACTCACACACGTCCTCCAGGCAATGTTTTCTCCTGTTTATTTCAAGAGTCTTTGTAAGAGCTTCACGGCAACGATCCCAGTGCCATTTTCAACCATGTATGAAGGGAGCCAAACATGTCTGCTCCATTTGGTGGCAAGCTGTATATAACATACCAGTAGAGTGAGCTGAGTATGGCTTTTAGTCCTCTGTGCTCAGAGATCTTATCCTGGGAAAATCCTGAGCTGACACTGAAAATCAGCTGGGTGATAAAAGCACTCACAATTACTGGGTGTGCTGGATGTCAACCCAGAATTAAATCATTTTTAAAATGTCAATCATTTAAGCAGACTTCAATCTTCGAACTTATTTCAGTTGCTGTTTTGCTGGGAAGCATCATCTCAAGGAGAACAAGTACTGGTACTTTCTCATCAACCAATTACAGGAGTTTATGTATGCAATGAATGCAAAGGGGTAAGTGATGCCACCAGGAAACCAGCGTGGATGGGGCATTCCTTCCCCAGTTCACACAGTGAAACACAGCAGTCAGCAAACACCAAACCCAGGGAATTAACAGAAGCAAAGTTCCTCTGATGTTCATCATAACAAATAATAACAGCAGCTCAGTTACAGAGACCTATGAAGCTGTGTGCCTGTAAAAATAAACAAGAATTAAACAGGAATACCTTTGAGCAGACATATTCTTTTCACAGTTGAGTCCTTTTGTATTGGCTTGAAATTTGCAGCTATTACTTTTGCAAAGAGTGTGCTGAAAGATACCTCCCAAAAAGCTGAAGTTTTGTGTTTGTGTAAGCAAAGGGACAGCTTTTTCCTGGTAAATAAACAGTATGTGCATGCACAACAAAATGGTCTAAAATATTTTTTGGCTGTAGTGGTTTTTGCTGCTGATTTTACCATGAAATGAGATGAATTATTGCCCACAGCCAGATGGATTTTACTTCCAGGGACTACAACTGATTCCCTAATAGAAACATTAGGAGATGACAAGCACTGAGAACACACTTGGTGTTTGAATTGCACATTGCCTGAATTATCAGTGATTATGTGTTTTTATAAGCAGTTATTTTACATCAACCTGCTGCCTTACACTTTGTGAAATGTGACAGGGTCACAAGAACATCTTATTCACATTTCTTAGATGATCTGATCCTGAAAGCACTTGGGCTGTGATGCTGCACATCTCAGAAGCCACTGATGTCCTTGTGCCCCTCGCTTGGAGCAGGCTGGGAGCTGGCTGGCCCCTGCCTGAGCGCAGTGTGGATGCTGGGACTGAAGGGGAGCCGAGGTTGAAATCAGGACCTGCAGTGTACCTAACATGTTGCTCATCTGAGCCACAGAGCAGAGTGGCTGCCTTTCCAGCAGTACGCCTGGTTGTCAGCTTCCCAGGTTGGCCCTGCAGCGCTCGCCTGCGGGATGGAGCGCAGCACATGTAAGCGTGCAGCTCTCTGCTTTCCTCTGCATCTCACGCAGTTCGTCTCTGAATGAGGCTCATGACCCACATGAGCCTGTGACGCATCAGGAGCAACTTTGAGCTGTGGTGCTGTCTGTGCTTTTATGATGGAACACGATGCACGTGTGTACTGAAAGCAAAGACTGCTTTTTTTTTCCTCCTGCATTACTTGGAAAATACCTCTGATGCTCTCCCTTTCTCCACACTTCCCATTCTTCTGGATACAGCAGGAGCACTGCAAGTGGGACCATCTCAGGGCTTTGGAAGTAAAAGGAGTCAACAGGTGGCAGTGTACATCAACACAGGTACATTTGCTATTTTCTTTCCCAACCTACATGGCCCTGTATCCATAGCCGTATGGTCTGTCCTTTCCCAAGGCAGGGTGCTTGCAGCCAGGTGATCTGTACGATCCCTTCCAACCCAAATCATTCCATGGCTGTAAGGAACAAACCCAACGTGTACAGAGGTGGAGGGTTTGCGTATGGGTCGTAACAGTGCACTGTGCACATTTCGTTAGTTATCCTGTGAGAGTCACATATTTGTGCCTGACTGAATTTACCACCTAAGGCAACTTCTACTGTATGATTTAAATACAATATTGAAAATGTGTGTTGGTTTGGAAAGGAACATTAGTAGTCCAATGAGAGCAGAAGCCACTGTCCGTAGATCTCCCTAGCAAACAGCACTGCACTAAATATGACTTTGTTTAAATTAGTGTTGAACATTCGCTGTATAAATAATTAGTCAATATTTTTTGAGAGAAAAAGTTAGAAAAAAGAAACAAAAAGGTTAAGAATGGTCTCACTGCAATGGGTCATTTCTGTGTAATTATCACTTCATCCCATAGGCCATCAGGTTTATACCAAGGCAGTGGCCTTGGCTATACATCCACCACTCAAATATAGCCATGGGGCACAGGCACCTGTTACTTAGAGTTTCTGCTGCCTGTACAGCTGCTCATCAGGCAGTGGAACTGTCTGAGAGTGACGCAGCAGGAAAAGGAGAGGAGTGAATGGAAGGAAAGATGAAATATCCGATCCTAAGCTAACTTCTTGGCTGTCCAAAAATAGAACCTGTAAAAAACTATTCAAGACTGTAATACAAATTCCAAGTTACCTGAAAAGAAAGTGCAGTCTAGTGCAGTGTGCTTTCATTTTCCCATTTTGCTCCTTCAGCTTCCTTCTCATTTCTTGTGCTTCAGTCTGTCTGGGTATTGCAGGTATCTGCTTTGTCTGCAAAGAAATATCAGGAGGAATTCTACTTGATGCACCTAGTGCATGTTTAGGGTTTAATTAAGAAAAGGAACAGGCTGCCCTGGGGAATTCTGAGTTGAACCATACACGGTACAAGAGGGGAGGAGTTAGATACTCCAGCATTGCAAGTTTTAAGACAAGATTCCCTAAGAAAGCTGAAGAAAGAGCAGGAGGAACTACAAAGGACTGGTTCCAACATCTCCACATCCTCCTGGCTCGCAGGCTCATGCACATCAGTACTCAATGCCCAGACAGTGCTAGTCCACAGAAAAGTGGGGATATGGAGTCCAGTTTTCACAGAATCATAGTATGGCCCGGGTTGAGTCACGCCAGTACATGGGTATATGTGCACAGCAAGACATAGGGCCACGGGCAGAAATCAGGGCATGTGCTTTCTTTACATCCCTCTGAGGCTAAGGAGATGGGAGGTTTTCAAGGATCTCAGGAGTAATGAGACATTGCACATAAGCGCACAGAGTAGCGATCAGTTGCCCAAAGCCCTTGAGGAGCCCAGTTCTAAGAGCCAATCCATTTCCCCCTGATGTCAGCAGGACCTGCAAAGCATTCTGCAGCGTTTTTCTCAGGAGTCCAGGCTGGCATCCAGGTCAGAAAAAAGGCAATCAGAATCAGAAACATGTAAATCACAGAGCATGTCTGCCTTTGACTGGGCTCAGAAGAAGTGCAGGAATGACAGAGGAGGTGTATGAGCAATTTCACATTAATTCACGTTTCCCTGGCACAAGTAGGTAGTTTGAAAACAATTTACAAACATTTAAACAAAATCCTAATTGCAGTTATAACAGTTATCTTTTAAAAACAACTTACTGAAAAAATACAAACCCTTAACCTGCAATTTTGTTATCATAAAGATGTAGCTCTTGAGCTCCCAGAACAGTAATGCATTTGAACTCATTTTTACAACTATAAACCTAAGCAATTCTGCTGCAATAAAGCCCACCTGCCTCTACTTATGCAGCACTTCACACAGCAGGGTCTGCACAATGAGCAACAGTCCCAGCAATGGCAAAGGAACCACGATACGATCCTAAGGGAGGTCTAGCTTCAAAGAAAGCAGTGTGCTATATATACATGCTCTTAATGAACAAGCTTATAAATTGACACTCAAACGCAGCAGCTGAGAGGGAGTGCATACACAGACCCATGGAGCTTTGGGAGTCTCTGCAACCAGAGAAGCTCCTGCCAAATGAAGGCTGCTCGAATGCAGCCTCTGCCATACCAAGTACTTGTAAACTCTGTAACAGGTAGGTAGAGAATGCAAACATCACGGAGTGATTCTGGCCTCAAAAGCTGTGACTACAGTTGTGGTATAAGAGCCACATCTAATGGTCTAATGCTCTGATCCCTTCTCCTTTACACAAAAGATACAATCACTGCCACCCTTCAGCTGGCAGTCTCACGTGTGCAAAGTGTGCAAACCCTCAAATTAAAAGTTAATTCCCCAAGGTTAAATTCCGAAATGTTGTGAGCTCCTCTAAGTTCAAAGGAAAGCAAAATGAGCGAGACCCAAACATACGCAAAACAAACCAACACGTTCTCTATATGGAACTTCACAGATGTATTTTCAAACATTTCTAACAGCCCTAGTCCTTTTCCATCAACTTTTTCGTATTTTTTCCCTGACAATCAAACCACTAGCCATCGCCTTGCCTAGAACTATCCAAGAGGTTTTCAGGCCATTGTGGCTTCAGCCTTAAGTGCTATTTCTTTCTGAAATCTGGAGAAAATTTTAATCCTTACAGCCTTACAGAAGAGAGAAATTAAATAAATTATCTAGATCTTTGCAAATATCCATAATAGCTATTTGCAGGAATGCCTCTGCACCCATCCATCATGCTGAAACACACACTCAGACCAGGTCTGCTTAAAGATGCTCCCTCAGCAGTTTGGACTAGCACCATTAAATATGAGTTAAAACAGTAGCAACAACCCTAGGCCAATTTATGATTTAATATAATGATTTTGGAGAAGTCGGCTTCTGGAGGATCTACAAAATCCTCTGAAGTTTTGCTCCAAAAATCTATTTTGCACAGCTTTTAGTCAGGTCTGTGGAAAACAAGTGTTGCTGGGGCCTGTGGAAAATTGCAATTAAATTATTTGCAAGATCCTCTGCAACAGTATTCAACAGTATAGTGGAAGATTTATGACAACAGAGAGAGCCTACGTTCATTTTACCAGATAATTTTCATGCAAAAGTAACATCATTAATAAACAGTTTAACTTACTTCTCAGTAGAAATGCAAACATTTGACACCAGAGATGAATGCTGGCTTCTCTTGCATGTTTTCAGGTTATTCTGTAGGGAGGAACTGCTGTGCATGTTTCAACATGCTTCTTATGCCTTATAATCCCCCGACTTTTAAGAGTTAGGTAGCGCGTGGTGTTTCTGACAAGACTGGCTGAAAAAGAGTTGCTTGTTGTCAGGGGAATTCAGTCAATTTGATTCTCTACCACTGAGGTCAACAGGATTATTCAAGTGAAGCACGGTCACCCTAAGGCTGGGGTACCTGCAGTCACCTACGTGTATGTTATATACAGGCCTGGTATAACGAATTGGCAAGAGCATCAAGTGCAAAGTTCAGGGCCAGATCCAGACTCCAACAAACAGTGAGATATGGGTTTAGACAACCCTTAATGCTCCAAGTTTGAATCTGGAACTGACCTTGCTCAGAATGCATTCAAACCCAGACTCCAGGCTATCTGCTGTGTAAGACGTCCGTTCTGACACTGCTGTAACCTCTCATGCCACTCTTCTGAAAACGCTTCAGATTCTGCATCAAAGACATCCAAGTCCCTCACAAAACCCCCCCAGGGAGAATTGTGACATTGTGGTCAAGACGTTACTGCATGTTGGAGAAGACATAAAAACCAAAGAAACCAAACTGCCGAACATCCAACGAATACTGAGTCTGCTCTGAACGTAAAACTTTGATCGTTTGCAGCGTTAATCCCACCTGAAACCATCATTTTATTTTTATCAAAGAAACAAAAAGAACTTCAAAAACTCTACCTAGAGTCACTGGTTTCTGCCAAGCGGTTGTTCATGATGGCTAGAGCACCCACCCCTGCGGAGAACCCGTTGTGCCTCGTATTGATACAAACGTTCCTCGGGTAGCCGTTGGCTGTCTCATACAGCTGCTTTTGCAAAATAGCCAGAGAGACCTTGTTGGACGCCGTGAGCTCCCTCATGGAGATCATCTCTCCAGAGAGCCTCCTGCCATCTGTGTCACTGTCGTACTGCCCGTCAGCCTCCAGGGAGATTTTGTGCCGGCGCAGGCGGGCTCCTGGGGTGATGGCGTTGCGACGCCCAAGACGGGCACTCGACTTATGGCACTTCGGGCAACATCTGCATCTGAGTTTTTTCAACACCCAGTTCAAGAGTTGCTTGATTACAATTGAGATGACGTTAAAAAGAGAGTATATGCAACATACCCCCATTAATATAAAGATGAAGTTTCCGAATCTGTATAATCCCTGATTTTGGTACACAGCGTTTTGGCTGCTTACCAAATCTCCAAAGCCGATGGTGCTAAAGGTGACAAAACAATAGTACAAGGAGTCGACGTAGTTCCACCCTTCCACCAACGTGTACATCGCTGAAGCGCAGCACGAAAGCGTGATGGCAAAAATTCCCAGAATGAGCATCACGTGATAAACAGACGGCTTCCAGCCGATGAGGCTGCCCACCCCCGACATAGCTGAACCTCTTCGGAAGTTGGGAGGTAGGAGACCACTTCTTCGCAGCTGTCTTTCGTGGCAAGCCTTCATGATGAACGCCAGGAGGGAGATAATGCGCTCCAGAAAGAGGTTGAAGAAGAGGATAGTCCCAGCACACCCAAAAAGACCGTAAACCATGAGGAATACTTTTCCAGCCACTGTTGCTGGCGTGGTCATTCCAAAACCTAAGGTGTGGAGAAAAAGGAGGAACGTTACTGCCACAGTTTTTCATGCATAAGCTCAGGAAGCGTGAAACTTATCTTGTCCCACTGGGCAAAAGAGAGTCCTATCTCTGTGTCAGATAAGGTCAACACGAGATAAGTTTTGTAAAGAATGAAGGAGGCACTGAAAAGCTCAATAAGGTGATTACAGCTCACAGGAGAGCAAAAACTTCCAGCAGTCATGAAAGACAGCGAATTCATAGGGAGACACCACGGCCACTGAGAGAGTGCTGCAGGGGAGGAAAGCCTTTGTGAGCCTACAGCATGCTGAGGTGAGGTGAGACAAACGGGTCACCTCCCTGCTTCCACTGTGTGAACCAGCACGGGCAGCTGGGAAAGTCCTCCATTTATGAGCTGTAAATCAGCATAATGCTATTACCATCAAAGTCTGATTACACCCCCCGGCTGAGAAGATGGAAGTCTTCAGGTTACAAAACAGAAGGAAAAAAAACTCCCCAAAGATTGAACATTATTTTGAAAATAACACCACCGTAACACTCTAACCAAACCCCAACTGAGCCCAGCCCACCTGACGCAGTCACAGAGAAAAGGAAAAGCCTGCAGGTATTGCCCTTGTTACTGCTATTCTTCTCTGTAGAAGTACTCAGTGGTTCAGTCAAAAATCATTCTGATGGGGCTCAGGTGACTGATCACACTCCATGGATAAATAACCAGGTATAATTAAAATGAATGCACTGCCCAAAATGACAAGCTGAAATCTCTTTACCTCACTGTTCCATGAGATTGCTGAGCAAGTAACATACTTAGGGAAGTAAATATCAACAGCAGACCATGCCAGTGAAAGTTTGCTAAGAGAGCTGCATTTAACAGATAATGTGAACGTAATGAAATCATTAAATCTAGTTTATCATTATGCACCTATAAGCAGAAAAAGAGAAACATTTCTTATGAATAGCAAGTTGAGATTGCTGCCTGAAATCCATTTAAATATTCATGAAAATGTGGAAGTGAAAAATGTGCAGAGTAGTAGAAAAGAATAAAAAAACACACAGATGTAATTGACTGTTGCTGCCCGGACCCACAGCCCCTCTGTTCTGTTGTGCTGAAGATCTACCTTCCAAGTAGGTTTCCCAAAGCCTGCCTTGCTATTCCCAGACTTAACAAGGTTTTAATCAGCTCCTCTTGTGCAGGGTGAAGCTGCTCTCTGGGTGAGCCTCTGTGCTTGCCAGAGCCCTCTGGTTTGGTGATAAATATCCACTAGTGGTCTCCAGAAGAAGTCAGGAAGTCTGTGTGGCTGCCAGCAAGGAATACACAGCCAGCTCATTAGGGAGACAGCATCTGTCAGCCCATGCCTCATCAGCAAAGTGGTTAAACATGAGCTTCACTGTAAGTGCCTATCATGATCAAAATAAATGGGCTGTTGCACATATGGCTAAACACGTTAATTAATTATGAATTAAAAAAAAAAAACAGTGTCAGCTTAGGTAGAATTATAAGCGCGCTGAAGTTTTCTAGTGTTGTCTGGTGCTGTCAGTGGTGATGTGTATTTTTCATATGGCTTAAGTTTAAGATATTTCTGAAGCATAATGTTACCAACGTTTTCTACGTATCTATGCGAGGTGAAAAGTCACACCTCTGTAACAAGATACTAAGGTGTATGGAAAACAAACAAAGAGCATTCCCAGGTAATGCAGTACCACCAGGTGCTCCTTCAGCAGCCAGCAGCACACTCATGTCCCCTCCTATAAGGTCTGCCCCTTTGGCACCACCCAGGTCACACAGTGTTACTCCTGCTGTGCTCTTCGCTTGAGCTCAGCCCCTCCTCAAGGCCCAGTATCATCCTGATCCTCAGACAAAATAAATTCAGGCAGAATATCTATGCTTTGAATCTTCTATTTAAAGCACAAGAGTGCTTCGATTTTTCCATGACACTGGCATATATGGCTATATATATGGCAATGATATACATAAAGTCAATGCTGGGGTTGACCCTGTGCGTCTCAAGCAGTTATTCATCTTCTCTCATTCTAATTCTGCCACACTCCAACCTATGACTTTGGATGCACAGCCTATGGCAGCAATAATTTCACTCTATCCCCAGACAAACAGAATTGATGAAGACGATTTGGTAAAAGCAGATAATGCTTATGCAGCCTCTCATGGCTAAGTAAATTAATGAGACCCTTATTCTTACTTGCATATTAGGTTTTTTAGGCACTATTCAGCCTGCAAGAGTTCTGATATATTTAAGCTGATGATTAAAGGCAGAAACAATGAAACATGAACTTGCAAAAAGGAATGTGCCTGTGACATGTTGGTCTTGTTTTTGAGATTAAAGGGGTTGACAGTTTTCCAGTAAAGATATATTTACCCAGAAATGGAAGAAAGTTTTGGTCACCTGAAAACAGAACACAAGAACTGAGTAAACAGAAAGCTTCCCATCCTCTGCCATAAGACACTCCTGCACTATATGTAAAGGAATGAAAAAAAACAACCCTAAACCAATCCAAGCCCTAAAATTGTCGAATCTAACTTTTAAAACAAATGATTTCTCTAAACAAAGAAAGTATCTATAACTGGAATGCTGTTACCAGGCAGAATTAATTTCTTGAGATGTAAAGACTAAGCTCTACAAGGCTGGTCGCCAAGAATGTAGGTTACAGAAAGATAAACTAAAAGCAATCAGTTTTGTTCCATATCTGCTCCAAACATGCTTTTTTTACTTCATGGCTTCCCAGAGTCTTGATAAGTTGCTACTGCCCAACATGTACACATTCTCTATTTTAGAACTAAAACTCTGGATTAGGGATATTGTGCTCCTTTCAACCACTTTTCACCTGCCAGCACTTCATCATTATTGCTTCTGACAGAACCGTACCTATCTATTTCCCAGCTACCTCTCATTTATTCTGCAGCTCCTCAATACCTAATATCCAGGAACAGTTGCCCTGGATACAGGGTCACAGTGCAGAGCAGATCAAACTGCTGCAGACAGAACTCTTCCGCCACATACACAGCTTTCTCCCAAGGACTGGGACCACCACAGTAGGCCTTTTGAGACCACAAATGAGTAAGTTATTTTTCCTTAACATTCTTGACAGCCAGCTTTATCAAAATACCCCCACTCTGGTGATCAAACAGTCCATTTTTTGAGAGCTTTACTAATAGAGCACTCCAATAAACTCAATGAACATAGTGTCAAGCCAGGTGACCACTGCTTCTTGTTATACCTCTGCCATTGAAATATCAGTCTGGTGCTTGAGACAATTGCTGTTCAGAAGAACCCATGCTGGCAGAAAGATGGAGATGATGAATTGAACTTCAAGGAGTTTCAAGAAGCTGTGAGAAATCATTAAAGGCTTCTGAGAGCACCACTTTTCCTCTGTTTATACATGGTTGTAACCAGATTATTGGTTATGCAAAATGCTGCTCTGCACAGCAGTACTGAGTAACTGTAACTCTCCTCAGTGCTTCTCTACATTCTATCCACCACCCACGAGGCCAAGACCAGGTTTTCACTCCTTTTAAAAGTAAACTCGGTTCTATGAGAATCAGCAGATTTGTCAGCCTCTGCTGTAACCCAAGCTCTCTTCACAGAAAAGGAAATAAGATTAACAGTATGGTTATTTAAAATATCCCCAAGTTTTCTGTTTTAATACAGTCAAAAGACAACCTCAAGTGTTATCACTTTAATAGCAGTCTAAGGCACTGGAGGTGGCCCTGAGGAAGGAGAGAAGAAACATTTAGATGTTGCAATGAGGGACGTGGTTTAGTGGGGAAATATTGGTGGTAGGTGGACAGTTAGACTGGATGATCTTGGAGGTCTTTTCCAACCTTTATGATTCTATGATTCTTTGATTATAGCCCTGCTGCATGTGTACATTTACCTTCTCCTGCACACTGCAGGGCTCCCAAGTGTGTTTTTCTCCACTGACATCTAGCTGAGCTTTCCAAGAAAGATTGTCAATTTCTAGTGAGTGATCAGCACAGACATTTATCAGACCACGTGGTATAACTTTTGTACATCTGAATGATAAATGGCCCTGAGAGATGTGTGCTGGAGTCTCAGCTTCACCACCAGCAGCAGTACTATTGCTCTACTCATTTACTAGAGGTAGGTAAGCATTTTTTCTGTGTTGGAATGCACGCTGCCATTTCTGTGTGCATGACGAGAACGAAAGGCATATCAAAGATTAACCCCCCAAAATCCTGCTCACTTCTGTACACAGGTAGCCCAGTAAGTACAGAAGGAGGCTGACCACCTGCTCTGGACAAGCTGCTTTGGTACAGTCAAGGTTAGGAAGAAACACAAGTGTCTCTAAATCAGTTTTATGGTCATTGGTTGTGACTGGCTGCTCCTCTCTGTACATTGTATGAGCAAATGGCTATCACTAAGCCTCCAGCATCGCCGGAACAGCAGCAGCTCCAGCACCAAGGCTGCTATGCAGCTCCCTTCTCTCCTGCCTGCAACTCTAAGCATGGGACACTCAAGATTGGTCACAGGCTTAAGGGTGGAAATCTCTGGCAAGATTACATTTGGGTTTGCTGGTTAATCCTATCATATCACTTCAGGGTTTCTAATATGGGACAGAGTCTCCAAAATGAGACTACGAAGAACAAAGCTCAGGGAAGGATTGGTTCCTGAAAGCCAGAAGAAAAACGAATTCAAACTGCAAAGAAAGTAATGACTGACAAGATGGCAGTTTTCTTGCCAAGTCCCTGGACTGAACAGAGATAGAGGCACTCTGCAGAACCAGCGTCCTTCTTAACTTCTCTGTTAACATAGAGGTCACAAATAAACACTCTTCCAATGCATCCGGTTTTACTGCTGTTAAAGCAGCACGCTCTTTCTTTTGACTGCAGACTGCAGTGTCCTTGTGAATTGCCCTAATCCAGCCCAGAGCTGCTTCTCCTGGTTGCCTCTACACCTGATGATCAGAGTCCTCTCTGGTTTGTTTTCTTTCCTTATCCTCCCAGCTGGGTGGAAAACACGTTGCTATTGT